AACAAAAAAAAAAAAAAAAAAAAAAAAAATATATATATATATATATATATATATATATATTAATTTCCCTCCTTAATGAGATTCAAGGATATTATTAAAATTTTAAAAAATTTAAGATTTATTTTTTCTTAACAGAGAAATGCTAATTTCAAAAAAATATTTTTATTAAGCAAAAAAACAAGTAACTCCCACGGCTCAGATTTGTGGAGCAATCTAGAAGGAAGGGAAGGTCCAGGAGAATCTAGAAGGAAGAAGAGAGGTTCCAGTTCTTTCTTCCGTCTCCAGAGTCTCCTCCTCCCTCCTTTTATAACTCGATCATGCCGAATTTCTCTTCGCTCAAAGCATTCTACGAAATCTTCATTCTATTACTCGATCCAACTCGTTCCGAAGCTGCAAATTATCTTTACAGCCACAGATTCGTTTATAATCCAAAGGTTTCGCTTAAATGGCTCAAGCTGTGTCGAATCTGACTCGATTAGTCTCCTTCACGCCTGGTAAAGTCTCTAATGATCCGAAGAAGCTTAAAGGTTTTGCTCGTAGAAGTTGCATTAAAGCTATGGCGGGGGATGGCAGAGACAATCTCGATCATCTGCAGAAAATTCCTAGGAAGGAACAACGAGCAACTCAGCCACCAAAGAAACGAGTCGCTCCTGTTGTTCCTGTTGGTAATTAATCCGACCTTGCTGCTACTTGTTGGAATGTTTTCCCCTCTTCTTTTCGTTGAATTTTGTGTAATCGCTCGTGTTTGTTTTTCTAGGGCTTTGGGATCGATTTCCGACGGCGAGAACAGTGCAGCAAATGATGGAAACAATGGAGAGGATAATGGATGATCCATTTGCTTACTCCGGGGCATGGCCATCACCGCCATTTTCGAGCGATGGAGCGGGGTACAGCAGGGGAAGAACTCCATGGGAGATTAAGGAAGGGGAAAATGAGTACAAGATGAGGTTCGACATGCCAGGTATGACGAAGGACGATGTGAAGGTGTGGGTGGAGGAGAAAATGCTGGTTGTGAAGGCTGAGAAGGTGAAGAAGACCAGTTCAGAAAATGGTAAGGTAGGAGAAGAAGAAGAAGAAGAAGGAGATTGGTCTGCTAAGAGCTATGGAAGATACAGTAGCAGAATTGCATTGCCTGAGAATGTTCAATTTGAGCAGATCAAAGCAGAGGTAAAAGATGGGGTTTTGTACATAACAATACCAAAGGCTGTTGTAACGAGTAAAATTGTAGATATCAATGTCCAGTGAAGAGTCGGGAGTAGTCCTCAAGAGTAGTTGTAGTTCTGTAAACAGCCATGAAGATGAAGTTCTTGCAATTTCTTCGTGGCTTTTGTAATCTATTCAACAAAGCTTCGTTACAGCGTTTGGGATTATTTATGGAATGATACCCTTTGTCATCCGTAAGAACAAACCGCTTTAATTTTTGAGAGAATTGGTTCATCAGAATGTTGAACATTGGAAAGAAAGACGGAAAAAAATTGATATCAATCTGGTGGAGAAGGCAGATGGTTTCTTCTGTTCGTCCGAATTGAATCAGTAGCTGGAACTTCATTCCAGAAGTAGTGTTCTTGCTTGCCAGAGGATCAAGCTCGGCATGAAAGGCCATGTAAGCGTTTTTAATGAATCTTTAATCTCTGTAGCCTAGTTAAGTAGTAGAGCCAATACTCATGCATGAACAAGACCCTCAATGGACGGCCTAAAAGAAGGCAGCTTTCACCATTTTACAACAATATAATGAGACCCAAGTTTCTGTTTGGACAGATAATTTGTAAGGAACGGATCTTTTCTCATTGAATTAGTCTGTTAATTATATGCTTGAGATCACAGATATCCAACTCCATAATTGAATCAGAATGCATCAGGATTCTGTAGAACAAGCACTCCTAAGGATGTCTCAGTGTCCTGAGATTGTCCGAGCGCAAGACCAGCCATCACTGATATCAACTGTTCCACTGCGACACCTAAAAGCTTTTTTCTTAAACTACTTTGATTGAAACTGCCCCATCTGCATTGTGTTTAGTTATTTATTAGAAAGTTGAAGTTTATTACGTTGTTCAAATGACAGTGCTCGAGGAACCATACAAAGCAATGCTTTTTTCTACTTGCAATCTCTTGAATTTGAACAGATGACAGTAGCAGAGAATCAAGCTTACAGCTTAAATTGTATTGCCAGTTGATGTTAGAGGTGGCCAACACATAGGATCATGCTTCATGCTTCATGCTTCTTGCTTCCGACGGATCACAACATGTAATCTGGTATTAAAATACTCACATCTGGTTGAAACAGTGGCAGGCTTTCGATATAAAGGTAGAAATGTATTAGATTTTCCTTGGTAAGAGTTTCCGAGTCGACAATGTCAGTGTCGCTTGTAAGAACCCACAGGTCCCTGGCGCTCAACCTATTTAGACAGTTACGGCAGAAGGGACAGGAACGCGACCTCGGACTCCTGCAGACAAGATTACAACAGACAGAACTCCTGTTGTTAGCTGATAATAAGAAAGTTTTGAGGGTGAGAAGGAAGAAAAATTGTTAGTACCAGTCCTGAAAGCAGCTGAGGCACATCGAATGGCCACAGTTTGGCAACACAACATCTCTGCAGTTTTCCATGCATATCCCACACTCTTCATCCCTCTGAAGATCCTCATTAGATATCCCCTTTTGATCTTCTATTCTCTTCCTAGAAGAAGTCTCTTCTTTTGACTTGAGGTGCCCACTTCGAAGTTGCCTAAGTGAAGGGTATATTACAGCTGCCATGGTTTCATTGTTAATGAATTTGATCTGTTTGTCTCTGGAAAAAGTAAAAGTTAGGAGGGAAGTGCAGACCATAGAACTCCTTGAGGGTGGCTTTTCTTTCTCGTGGCGACGCCAACGGTTGGTGTCCATCGATGTACACCTGCATACTTGAGTAAACATTGAGAGGGCTTTAGATTTCATTGAGTAGCTTTAGATTTCAGGTTGTGAATATGCCTCGAGTTGAGGGAAGCACCTTGTACAAGAGTACGTGGAAAAGGCCCAAGAAACTTGGAAGAGGATCTGTGCAACTGAAATCCATCCATTCAATCCAATGAAGAAAAAAGAGAGCAAATGGGCTGTATTGCAATCTCATTTGAATGCAAAATCCACCGTACTCTCTCGAGAACATAGCTGCCCTACAAATGCAAAACCAAACCCATGAGAAGTCGTAATTCAATCTCTTGAAAACTTATTCCGGGAAGTTTTGAAGGAAAAGTCTAAAGAGGACCATATATACTAATGTCGGGTTTGAAAAATTGGAATTATAGGCAAAGAAGAGAATAGAACCCCAATAGAAGATCTTACAAGGCATTTGCACGTCGTATATCAGCTTCAACAGCCTTGACAGATTCTTTAAACGAGATCCTTTTGGGCTGTTGTTGCCGCATTCTTTCTCCTTCCAACTTGACAGAACAGAGCAGCAGCAGATGATGTTGAGAAAGAAGAGATATATTCGTGGAAAGGCCGTGTCCAGACATCTAAAACATGAGGGAAAGAAGGAGATGTGGGAAAAACCTTGCTTCGATTTCAAACTTCAAAGCTTTGACACTTTAAGACAAGAAAAGGATACCTTCTGTTTAGTGTTTATCCATTGTTTCTTAGTCGGGGATTGCATTGTTTCCAAGTCAGACTTTCCTTCCATTCTTAGAACACCCAAAACCCAATAACTAAGCATGTTAACAATCAAGATAAGCATTAAACCTATTGATTGCTGCAAATTTAATGCTGCGTGCTTCTTACCCAACTTTAATCGCGCCTAAAGCCGCCGGCGGTTCTCCACCAGTTACGCCCGTCGTCTGTCCCTCACGAATTCTGATATCGGCATGTCTGTCTCTCTCCGATGAGTTTCTCCATGATCGTTCATCGGAGCTTAGGCAGAGATTGCGGAGAAAAATGGAAGGATTCGAACGATTAGGTCACCTCCCTTCGTCAGCTCGAGTCGTTTCATTTAGAGGCTGTCAAGGTTGCTTTGGACCAAGACCCATTAGCAAGTTTTCAAATCAAAATTATTTAAAAAAAAAAAATAATAATTTTGACCCCAAATTTGTTATGGTATCAACGTAGACTCAAAATTTTCATTAATATTGATTAAAAAATTACACAAATTTTGTAAACTCATTTATTTTAGGTTAGTTTAAACAGTTCAATTTTGTATTTTGTAATATTTTAAAAAAAAAATCTCATTATTCTTTATTTTTTTTTAGTTATTTTTTAAGTTTTAAAAAATTTAAGGGCATTTTTAAAATATTTTTTTTTTTTTTTTTTTTTTTTTTTTTAAAAGTGTGCGTCTAACTTTGGCATNTTTTTTTTTTTTTTTTTTTTTTTTTTTTTTAGAAATTGAGAGTATTTAATATTTTTGTGTATTTTTTAAAATAAAATATTAACTATTTTTTTGTTAAAAAAAATAAACTAGTGATATTGATATATTTTTTTAAATTTTTTTTAAAAATTTAAGAGATTTTAGATATATTTTTTTAAAAAGTTTAAAGGGTATTATTGAAATTTTGTAAAGAAAATTCAATGTATTTTTATTTTTATTAATTTAATATTTATTTTATTAGAATAAAATTTTACACTAAATTTGATCAACATATATATATATTTTTTTGTAAATCAACTTTTTTTTGTCTCTAAAAATTTATAATTTTTTTTAATAAATAAGAAAATATTTTTCCTTGGACAATATTTGGAGAAATAATTTATTAAAGGTTAATATTAATAAAACACCCTTTTCAAGTTCTTCCAGAAGGGCTCCAAAATGATCTTTTATAAATTAAATATTTATGATAATGCACCATCTATATTAGTGTGATCATATAATATTATTTTTTTTTCCGTGGGCCCTTGTTTTTACTTTTAAGATTTTATTTACGATTTCCACTCAATTTTATCATTAATATATTAACCGGATCGTTAAAGCTACGTATCCAAAACCTTTCAAAAACAACATTAATAATTTTTTTTTTTTTTTTTTTACCACGGACATAAATAATTTATCTACCTTCCAAATAGTAACTTTTTAAATTTACCTTAATTTTTTTTTTAATTTTTATCTTTTTTAAAAGTTTAAAATTTTAGATTTTTTTTAGGTACAAATCAACTAGCTAAAACATCTATTAGCAGTGAAGTGTTACAAATATGTCAGTCAAGATGGTGTGCCACTAAAGAGAATGAATCATTGTAAAAGTAGAAACCTGTTACTAACAAACACGTTAAAACTTGAAGCGATAAAGACTCCATATCTTGTAATCGTGTAATCGATTAAAGTCGAGAAAACATTCTCACAAAACACAAGAATCCTTGATTCCTTGACTTGGAACTAGATTTTGTCGAGAGGAAATGAGACCCAACACGAATCACTATCCCTGTATCCATTCCTTTCAAAGCTCAAGAAGCTGAAAACAAGCTATCCCAAGTGGAGAACAAAGGGATAATTTGTTCTTAAACTAAAAGCAAAAGGTAATCAAAGCCACAGAATATATTGATCACTTTATTGTTTTTAAATTTCTTGCATGGCTATGGCTCTGATGATGCCTATCAAGATCTTGTCAATGTAGTGCACCATCATTGTCAAATTGTCCACTTCTCTTTAGCCTTTACTTTCTAAAAGTATATGCTTTTTCGCTCTCCTAATGCCCAACTCCATGTTCTTCACAATTGCATGTGGCTTTGAGTGGCCCTGTCCATTTCAAATGAAGCCAAATGGTTTGAAATTTGGTTCTTTTCCGATAAATATTGGGCTCGAGCTTGAACTGCACTCCTTCCCAGAAAGAAAAAGGGGGCGAAAAAAGATGATTCCGAAGGCCTAAATCAACGCCAGAACTTGATAGTGAAACGCAGCTCACTGTTGTTGTGTGATGCAAATCACTGATAAAAATTTGTGGGTTTCTTCATTCTGTTTGTTCTTCAAATGGGTTTTCCTCGTTTTTTGGCTTTGATTCTTCTCGTCGTTTCGTCTGTTCATTGTCAAGTTAAAGGTATGTTCTTTCTTCTCTCTCTGCTGTTCTTCATCGGAACAAATTTCAGATGAACAACCCTCGTTTTCGCATTTTCAAATCAAATGATGCATTGAAATGAATACCCATTTCGTTTTAAAGTGAAACCCATTATACTGATTTGTGTAATTCCTCCACCAAAAAACAGAGTTTATCAGTATAGACTGTGGAGCGACGAAGAACTACATCGACCCAGTTACAGGGCTGGTATGGATTTCCGACGCCGGAATCATGAACGCCGGCAGGTCATCGCCGGTGGAAAACCCAAATGGAAACTCGATGCAGTATCAAACACGGCGGGATTTCCCAATCGACAATAAGAAGTACTGTTACAGTTTGAAAACAGAGGAGAGAAGAAGGTATTTGGTTCGAGCAAGTTTTCAGTATGGGAGTTTGAAGAATGAAGAAACGTACCCTAAATTTCAGCTGTATTTGGATGCAACTAAGTGGTCGACTGTTACCATTTTTGATGCTTCGAGAGTGTATGTGAAGGAGATGATCATTAGGGCACCCTCTGATTCCTTCGATGTGTGCATATGCTGTGCTACTACTGGCTCTCCATTCATATCCACTCTTGAGCTGCGCCCTTTTAACCTCTCAATGTATGCAACGGATTTTGAAGATCATTTCTTCTTGGAAGTTGCTGCTAGAGTGAATTTTGGTGCCCTGACCAAGGACGTGATAAGGTAAGGTACTTGATAGGTTCGATGTGTTGAGAGGGAGTCTCACGTTGGCTGATTTAGGGAATGATCATAGGTTTATTAATTAAGGAATGCATCTCCATTTGTATGAGGTCTTTTGGGAAGCCTAAAGCAAAGCCATGAGAGCTTATGCTCAAAGTGGACAATATAATACCATTGTGGAGAGTCGTTATTCCTAACATGGTATCAGAGCCATGCCTTAAACTTAGTCATGTTAATAGAATCCTCAAATGTTGAACAAAGAATTGTGAGCCTCGAAGGTGTAGTCAAAAGTGACTGAAGTGTTGAACAAAGGGTGTACTTTGTTCGAGGGCTCCAGAGAAGGAGTTGAGTCTCGATTAAGGAGAGGTTGTTCGAGGGCTGAACAAAGGGTGTACTTTGTTCGAGGGCTCCAGAGAAGGAGTCGAGTCTCGATTAAGGAGAGGTTGTTCGAGGGTTGAACAAAGGGTGTACTTCGTTCGAGGGCTCCAGAGAAGGAGTCGAGTCTCGATTAAGGAGAGGTTGTTTGAGGGCTGAACAAAGGGTGTACTTCGTTCGAGGGCTCCAGAGAAGGAGTCGAGCCTCGATTAAGGGGAGATTGTTTGAGGGCTATATAGACCTCGGAGGCTCTATGGTGTACTTTGTTCGAGGGCTCCAAAGAAGGAGTCGAGTCTCTCTTAAGGGGAGACTGTTCGAGGGCTACATAGACCTCAGGGGAGGCTCTATGGTGTACTTTGTTCGAGGGGAGGATTGGTGGGAGGGAGTCTCACATTGGCTAATTTAGGGAATGATCATGGGTTTATAAGTAATGAATACATCTCCACTGGTATGAGGCCTTTGGGGAAGCACAAAGCAAAGCCATGAGAGCTTATGCTCAAAGTGGACAATATCATACCATTGTAGAGAGTTGTTATTCATAACACAATGCCGGATGGCTTGTTCGATTACTTATTTGGTACTTACTCTGTTTTTCTTAGGTACCCAGATGATCCATATGACAGAATTTGGGATTCAGATCTTGAGAAGAGGCAAAATTATCTTGTGGGGGTGGCTCCGGGGACAGAAAGAATAAGAACTTTGAAGAACATTAATGTAATGACAAGGGAATATCCGCCTGTTAAGGTGATGCAAACTGCAGTTCTTGGCACAAAAGGAGTGCTTAGTTACAGGTTGAATTTGGATGATTTTCCTGCCAATGCCAGGGCTTATGCATATTTTGCTGAGATTGAAGATTTGGGTTGGAACGAGACTCGGAAGTTCAAATTAGAGGAACCTAACGTTCCGGACTCGAGCAATGCAGTGGTGAACATTGAAGAGAATGCCAATGGGACATATACTCTTTACGAACCAAGTTATATGAACGTGACTCTAAGTTTCGTGCTTTCGTTTTCGTTTGTCAAGACTCGAGATTCAACTCGAGGACCAGTTTTGAATGCATTGGAAATTAGTAGATATGTTGAGATTGCTGCCAAGACTGATAGGCGAGATGGTAGGTTCTTCATCTCGACATCTTGTTATGAAGATTAACGATATCCTGAAACTTTTTGTTCATGACAGATTATAAATTTTCTCTACTGAAGGCGATTGATTAGTGTTTTCTGTCTCGGATTGGTAGAGTCTGTCGTGAATGCCTTCCATAACATGTCAGCAGAGAATGTTCGGACAAACGAAGGCGATCCTTGCGTTCCAACAAGCTGGGAATGGGTGACTTGTACTGCCACACAACCGCCGAGAATAACTAAAATGTAACTTTTTTCGACTCTTCAATGGCTCTATTTTAAGCCTTTTTTCGAGCTTCAAACCATGCATTTCAGGTATTTAGAATCCGAGTCTTCAAGCCCTTTGGTATCGATTAATGTATGCCTATCCTTTCACTTCTTATGCAGTAAGCTCTCCGGGAAGAACGTCGAGGGTGGCATTCCACCAGAAATCAATACTATGGATGGATTAATGGAATTGTAAGTCCAACTCGATTTAAGAAAAGCACCGTTTTCGTTTCGTAACGAATCTCCGTTGCAATTCATTGTCGTGTCCTCCTTTTCTTCAGGTGGTTGGATGGAAATTCCCTTGCAGGGCCACTGCCTGACATGAGTAATCTAATAAACTTGAAGATTTTGTAAGCTCTCGAGGCTATCCGCAATTTTCCGTT